CTGCTGTGGGAGTGTGTATCGAGGACCAGGGGGAAGACTGCAGATGATGGAGGACAACCTGGAGAGGGTGGCAGAGTCTAGGGTGCCAGCTGCTTGCCTGGTGCTGCATTAGTTTGTCACCCCAAGTCCTCCTTGTGAGACTGGATGGTATGACCATTCTGTTGTCCTTCCTGAGAGGCAGCCAGGCTGGGTGAGGCTCCGTAGTGGGAGGAGAGAGCCATCAGCAGGACGGTCAGTGGCCAAAATGAGGCCAAACTCCCAGCAGGCAATAGACCCCATTCATGACCACCTCATGGGGGCCAAGGAAGGCTGAAGCTGAAAGCTCTAACACAGCCCATCAGAGTGCTCCAGGACACAAGGGGTCTGGGCCTGGATGCATCAGTGGAAAAGGGGAGGCCTGGGCACCTGCTGGGCCATATCCCCATCCCTCAGGCCTATCAGCTGCATCAGAAAGTCCCAGGATGTGCTCAGGGTAGGGAGCAGCACTGGTCCTGGGGTGTCTCCAGGTTCTCTATGGGATTCCTAATTTCCTGTAGAAATTCCCAGGGCACAATCAGGTGAACACAAGGACAAAGAAGACCCTGGGGCCGAGTGACTGAGGCTCCAGCTCCTGAGCCTGCACCAAGGGTAGGGGGGGGCTGTCTGCCTGCTGGTGTTGAGGGTCTGGTCTGTCTGCTGCCAGCCAGGAAAGGAGACAACAGGACCCCCCACATCGGATCATAACCAAAGGCCAGGCACTTAGGAGGCAGCCCATGGGGTGGACTGGCTCACTTCACACGTGGGGTTGACTGGTTTATCTCAGCCTGCCTGGGCTGGGCCTCCCAGCATGCATGGCGCTCAGAGGTCCTGACTCTCACCAGCCTCCCTGACTCCACCCTGTGAAGTAGCCCCTGCCTTCTCCTCTGTCTCACCAGCTAGAACTGTCTGAAAGGCCTTGCTAACCCCCTCACTTGTCTATCACCACTCTCCTCACAGCTCAAGTGAAAATCCTTCAAAATAAAAAATAAATAAAAGGGCAGGCCCTTCTTTTTCAATAACTGTTAACAAATTTTATTATAGTGACTTTAAACCAGAAAGGGGCTCTTCTAAATGTGGGATCCTGAACAATGACACAGGACACGTATCCTTGGAGCCACCCTAGGTATGACCCAGTTCAGCCCTGTCAAGGTCATTACAGTGCCCAGAACACCATCCAGCACACAGCAGGTGCTCAAAACACCACCCAGTACACAGCAGGTGCTCAAAACACCACCCAGTACACAGCAGGTGCCCAGAACACCACCTAGCATACAGCAGGTGTTCAAAACACCACCCAGTACACAGCAGGTGTCCAGAATACCACCCAGCATACAGCAGGTGCCCAGAACACCACCCAGCACACAGCAGGTGCCCAGAACACCACCCAGCATACAGCAGATGTCCAGAACATCATTCTGCATACAGCAGGTACCCAGAACACTGCCCTGCATACAGCAGGTGCTCAGTCACCCATCTGTAGCTTGCTTGTTTCCCCAGTGCCAGTAGCAGGCAGGGACGCTGTAGTCTAGGGGATCATCCTAAAGGCTGGAAAGCTCCATGACCTTCATATCCCTTGACAGGATGTGGAAGGCCTTGTGCTAAGTCCAACTTAAAGACCAGAGGGCCTTCTGTTAAGTATGAGTTGATTGAATGAACAAAGGAATGAATGAACAGACAAAGCATCCAAAGCATCATGGGGCTTAGAGAAGGGAGGGATTACTTCCAGTGTGGAGATGAGACAGTGCGTGGGGGCGGGACCTCTGTGTCTACAGTAAGTAGATTTACATGGGGAGGGGTGGGCCTCCCGCACAGAGGCCAGGAGTGCAGTTTGGATCTCTGGAGCCTGGACCGTGTTCTGGGGCACAGCTGGAACGTGGGGTGTGCACAGGAATGGAGCGGGAGATTCCCTGGCCTGGTAGTTAGAGCCCCCTTTCCTCAGCAGCTTGAGTTGAGACCTCTCTTGGGGAATGTCCCCTGAGCAGTGTGACACGCGGTATGTCCAGGGTTGGGATGAGGCCCTGGAGGATTCTCGGCTGGCACCAGAGCAGGAGTTCAGATGCCAGGGTAGTGGGTAAGGAGCTGACAAAGGGCAAGGGGTCATCCTTGGCGCACAGATGACCTCACATTTTCTGAGGGGTGAGGCTGCAGGGAGCTCGGGAGCCGGTTGAGGTCCCATAGTAATCCTGGGCCCCAGTGGGCCATTGTTCATTCATTCATTCATTCATTGCTCACAGGGCTGGGTGGGTGGTGATAAAGTCTGTACTCAGTGCAAGATATCTGGACACACGACTGTGTTAAAAGGACAAAAACGTGAAACAGGTTCTGAGAGAGGCCAGCGCAGGACGCTGCGGTCAGGAGGAGGGGCCCATAGCTACATCCACAGACAGCTTCTGGGTCACTGGAAAGGCTTCCTAAGTATCCACCAAGTGCTGGACTGGGGTGGGCTCAGAGTCAGTTCAGGGTCCAGGCTCCTGCAGCCACTGTCCAGTCTGGGGTCCAGCATACCTAGTTTCCACATGGGTCCTTCCAACATGGGTGGTCCTTGCCTCCCCAGGAGGGGGTCCCACCCTCCTGCAACGCCATCATCTGGGGGGTCTGTTTGACACTGGCAGAGGCAGCCAAGGGGCTGGGAGTGAGTGAAGGCTGGGGGTCACTGTCAGAGCAGCCCCCAGACCCAACAAGCCTTCACCCAGTGGAAATTAGCCCCGATTTCTATCACTTTCTGCAGCCAGACTCTTTACATTTAGGGTCCTTATTATCGTCTGTCTCCGCCCCCCCCCACCTTCTACTCAAGACTAGATTAGATTCTCATCAAAAGTCTGGTGGGTGGGGGAGAAGAGCATTTATGCAGATCAGTCTATATTCGGGCACCAGCGGTTGAGCGGGTAATATACACTTCTATTCCCCTCCGTGGAGTCTTCCGAGGATCAATGTGAGGGTTTAACTACCACACAACGAGAAAACATCCTTCCCGGCTGCCTTCGAGCGGCCATCGGAGCCTGTGTGTGTGTTTCCCTCATTATTTGGATGTGCGTTTGAATGTTGTGATCAGTGATTCAGAGCACATGATTCATCAGGAAGACATTTGCTCGGCAGACATGTGAGGAGCTGTCTGCCTCTTCAATCTCACTGACAGGGCAAAAATGCTGATTTATAGTAAATCATTAAAATCTGCTTATCATGGCACGGCTTGCTCTTCTTCCCCACTTCAAGCCCACAACTTGATCTGCACCGTGTCTCTTACAATTTTATACTACAGCAAGCAGTTATCTAAACAAGAGAGGGAAGATCCTTAGTCTTTATTAGCGCATATGAAAGGATATTTTGTTTAAAGAAGACTAATTAAGAATACAGACTGTTTTCTTGCTCGGGTTGGGGGGGGGAGGAAATAAAGATTTAAAACGTCCAAGTGGAACAAAGAATTACCGTACTAAAATAATACGTACAAATGATGATTTGGTAACATATATTAAATAGACATAAAATGGCATTCCATATGTTGCCAAAATTATTGGGAGGGCAGGGGCTCGGGGGCCGGTCGCCTCTGAGTTTGGATCGGAGGGAGGCACTCTAATAGACATGAACACCAGCTAGGGGATAATGCTGTTATTGTATTTAACGCCAATATTGTGACAAAGGTTATACTGCTTTAAAAATCATTCGGAAAGTTTTGTTCTTTAAAGAGATTCAAGATGGGGTGGAAATATGGGACAATGCTGCACGCTAGGTAAACAAAGAAATAACACAAAAAGGCCTAGATTTTGTATGTGTTACTTACAGTAAAAAAAAAAAATTAATTTGATGCCTGGGGACAAAAATCCTTGCCACTGAATTACAAAGAAGTGAAAAAACTGACTCAAAATTAATCCATACAGATCTGTCCCCTTAATAAGACTAATTCCAGAGAACAAAGCAGAGCATAATGCATTTTAAATTAAGTTGGAAAATGCATAATTTATATTTGTTTTATTTCTTCATATTTTAACACAGGTGCGTTGCAGAATGCTAAGAACCCAAGGAGAAGGGCGTGCTTCCGTCCACGGTTTGTTTTTTTTTCCTTTCACTTTTTACAACCAACCAATCCAAAATTTCTCTTCTTGTTCAGAAAGTGAGTGTAGAAATCAGACAGAAAAAAATGAAGACAGTGAGATAGAAGAATGTAATTATGTTTGGTCAAAATTAACGGTTAGGGTCTCTAATTTCTCATGCAACATTCCAAAACAGAAAAAAAAAAATGATCTGGATGAAAATCAGGTCATCTTTTGTCTCAAGTGGTAGTTTTAGGAGAACCTGAGGAAGGCGGGCAAGGGAGCTCAGTTGAAGACAGAGGTCCAGGAGGACTGGGGGTCAGAGGAAGGGGCCCGGGGTACAGCAAAGACATGGCCCTGTGTTCCTACCACATTGCACTTAGATTGAAGGCAGCCTTATCTGCACAACTAGAGCCCTCTCTTCTGGTCTCTATTCTACCCTTATTTCAATTTATCTTATCCTGGGCGCCTCCCATCACTTCTATAACATACAAAAAACACCTAGCCTAGCTTAATTCATTAACTCAGTTTAGCTTAGCTCTTTTTTTTAAGTTTTTCTATTCTTTTATTGCCCCATAAATACGCCTTTGATTACGCCTTTTTTTTAAATTAATAGGAGGACACAGATGTTTAGGCTACATTGTTTTAATTTCTAAGGTAAAGTTCAAGTTGTAGTTGGGCCCTTCTCCCAGGGGCCCTGCTGAACACCCTCACCTGGTGCACATTAGGTGAGATCCCACCAATTGCCTTCCCCCCTCCCTCCCATTTCCCCCTCTTTCTTGTAGACTATATTTGTGTTTCAACTTTCTTGTGGGCGTATAGTTGTTTATATATTGGTTTTATATTAGTATTGAGTATACTGGATACTTTTATTTCCCCATTCTTGAGATACTTTACCAAGAAGAATGTGTTTCAACTCCATCCAGGCAAGCACAATGTAAAGTCACCATCTTTTAAAATAAGGAACACTTCACGAATTTGCGTGTCATCCTTACACAGGGCCCACGCTAATCTCCTCTGTATTATTCCAATCTTAGTACATGTGCTGTGGAATTGAGCACGCTTAGCTCATTTTTAAACAGTGTGTTTTGTTTTGTTTTAAAGTCACAAACTAGCTACTGCCTAGAAATGACTATTAAAATCAAATTGAGTGCCTTAAAATGATTCTGTAACATAAACTGCTCTTTGGACCGATCTTTGCTAGTGATTAAATGGTAGGGAAAAACTAGATGGCAATGGAACCCACGTCTACTTAGTTGCTGAGCACCTGGCAGGTAGCAGGCACTAACCCACAAGGTCTGCGAGAGTTACTCTGTCCGTTTACCATCCCAGCCCTCCTGGTGGGGTCACACACCTGCTGTCAGGCATGACGGAGCTGAGGACGTTATTGAACATCTCTGAGCCCCACAGGAGTTTAACGGAGCCCTCGTTTGTGACTACCTACTGTGAGCAGTGACATCTAAACAGAACCTGCCTCCCCTCAAAGTTCTCATGTGCTCTGACGGTCCATAACCACCAGACAGTTTTTCATTCTGAGGACTGTAGCACTGACTCATTCACTGAAAAGCAGAGCTGGCACTGTCACCCAAACATGGGCCACTAACTTACCAATAACCGTTTAGATGGTAAGACCACCATGGTGACTTTTTTGTGGACTTGGCTTTGGGCTTCTGCTCTGATTTTTTCCTCCATGGGGTACGTCTACTTCTTTCCTTTGCATCCAGAAAAGAAGATAGGGTTTAAAGCCCCGGCTTCTCACCTGCCAATGCCACCTGCATGAAAAACTGCTAAAGCACCAGGCTTCTCACCTGCCTGCCTTCCTTTGGGAAGTTGACTGGCATGCTACTTAAAACAGGAGGCCTTAGCTGTCTAGGTTTGGAACTCAGATATAGAAAAGTAAATGATAAACTAGGTACATTTTTTATTCAGCTTAACCTTAATTTCATAGCTTTGTTTCAATCAAGTCTTAATATTCTTTTCTACATTTTCTTTTTCTTTCTTCTTTCTCCTTCCTTCCCTCCTTCCTTCCTTCCTTTCCTTCCTTCTTT